ATTTGCTCAGGGGATCTTGACCCTTTCCCCTTCTCCAGGGGATCATGTATGTCTCTCTTAGGGTCTTCCTTGTTTACTAGCTTCTCTGGTAGTGTGGATTGTAGGCTAGAGTCACCCCATCTTTTAAAAGCAGCAGATGATCTCTGTATAGTCCAAGAATCATTTTCGTTTGTACAATCCTGGAATGCCAAGGCTGAACACCCCTTAATACAATGCCAAAGTTATAGATAAAAGTAAATATAAATTCTCTGTTATTGTTGTCTCTGAAAAATAGAACTGGTTTCTTTGAAAATGGGAATTAGTCTCACATCTATACTATGTGGCAGCTGGCATAGCCTTGGAGCTTGTAGCTTTGAAACAAAAGCATTTGCTGATGATTTTACACTTTAGCTCCTTCAAGAAGTGTGGTGATATATTGTTTATGATTTATTAGAGCTTGCATGAGGATTCAGAAAAGTAAAGTCAGCCTCAAGCTATAGAGATCAGGCAGTGGTGATACACACCTTTAATCCCAGCAGTCAGAAGCTTGGAGGTAGTGGTACACACCTTTAATCCTAGGACTCAGGATTAAGAAGTAGAGGGATCTCTGTGAGGTCAAGGCCACCCAGATCTACATAAGAGTGAATCAGTCTAAAAGAGAATTATAGCTCACATCTTTAATCCCAGCATTAGGGAGGTATATAAGACAGAAGCAAGGTCTCAGAGAGACATTCATTCTCCAGCCACACTGAGGAGAGGCAGCGGTTTGATCTTGGTGAAGAGCCCATGCATTGATCAGCCCTTTCAGCCTGAGCTAGAGTTGAGAGCTAGTGGCCAGCTGCTTTGCTTCCCTGATCATCAGGCAAGCTTTAATAAATCTTTCATAATATATGACCACAAAGGCCCTGAGCTGGGGAAGGATGGGGATATAGGAGGTACAGAGAGAAGACCATTCTTGAACACTGCTTCCCATTTAGACCCTGTGCGCCATTAAGTCCTCCACACCAGTGGGTTTTAAAGCAATCACCACAAAGAAGCGCAGTGTGCTGCAAACGTGATTTCACTCCTTCATGCAGACTTAGTTTGCAAGGTTTTCTAGAAGAGCAACACAAGGCACATAGGACAATCGTACATGTACTGTTTTATAGGATTATCCAGCAGCACAAGAGGTGGAGGCAGTTATCTTACACACCTCCAGGAACGTAGAACCAAGTAGTAAAGTGTATCCAGAAGGTAAGGTCAGAAAGCATTAAATTAGCAGCTACAGATAAAAGGATATTAAGTTCACCTACATATAAATATGAGAAGATCACTGTTGCAGCCTAGAAATATGCTAAGAAACTGTTAAAAAAAAGGATTAAATTCCTCAGCCATTAAATGGCTACAGTTTATTCACTAAGAATTACGATGACTATTTTATAGCAAACAGATGAATTGTTAGACCCCCGGAAAACTCAGGTATCCCGGGTCCCAGGCCATGACCTCGGTCACCCCAATCACCAGGCAGATTCGAGAATTTGCTGCAAACTGCATGAGGCTTTATTGTAATTTAACGAGCTAACCCCATGTTAGCTCGGGTCTTTTATCCACCCATCATGGCGGATGGCTACAAAAGACAGCTCGAACCCGCTGTGTACCGATCTTGTAGGGCAGCGTAAGGGGAGTGTCTAGGGGTAGGCACAGGCTCAGGATTGGTGTGCCTCCAGCCTTGGAGGGCTTGCCCTGTGTTGATTGGTCAACTGGATGTTATGGCCCATAGGCCCTCCCAGGGTGGTTGCTATGCTCTGCGTCATTGCTGTGCGCTTGTCGGTAAAGTACACCCAGGGTCGTAAAGCATAGCGCCACCAGCTAACTTCTGATTGGTTCCTTGTCACGAGGCAGGCACCTAACCTTTAGTGACTAAGACAAGGTCATAGAGCACATGTTACTGTCATGGCTGCCGAAATGGGGAGCTGGTCCCTTCAAATGAATACGGCTGACTACACAGCCATCTTTCTTAGGAGTAGCACACTGTGCTTCCTTTTTATCTTCAGAACCCCATCTTGCTCGTGTCTTCCTTTCATGTGCTGCCCCAGTGATATGCTTCCATGACTTCCAGAAAACAACCTGCTTGTTTTCACTTTATCACACGTCTATCCGCATTCTCCTCTGTCTTCAATGCCTCTTCTCCCTTCCTGCATTGTGCATTGTGTGGTTCTCATGAGACATTGTCCTGACATAACTGACTATTCTGGTGGAAACAATAGACAATAGGAAAAAATAAGGGCAAAAGTCACAAAGTGCCAGACAGAAAAATGAAGTGAAAAGGGGGATGAACACTGTTGCGGACAGGGTAAACAGACATTGACAAAAGGTATCTGTAAGGAGACCACAGAAGTGGAATGAAATGAGAGACTACATGAAGACCTGGGCAGAGCATCCAGAGCATGGACATGGTGTGCAAAGGTCCTGTGTTCATGAATAGGGAGAATGGAGAGACAAAAGGAGAGGATGAACAACGAGCAAATGAAGACAAGGGGGTCAACAGGGGCTAGTGGGTAGAAAGGCATATTGGCATTCAGGAAATGTTGACTTTAATTGTGGTGGAAAGTCACTAGGAAATTTTGAGCTGATTCGAATTCAAAAGAAAAAGAAAAGAAGAGAGAGAGAGAGAGAGAGAGAGAGAGAGGAGAGAGAGAGAGAAAGAAAAAGAGAAAGAAAGAAAGAAAGAAAGAAAGAAAGAAAGAAAGAAAGAAAGAAGAAAACAACCTGGCCTCCTTGGAAACCAAGAAGGGCTAAGATGAGAAGGAATTTAAAGGCAAGGGGAGGAGTTAGAAGAAGACACTATTGAAGTCAAGAGAAAAGGTAGCTGGCATTAGGATAGTAAGAAGTGAAAAATTCCCTGCAAATTCCCTGCACGGTGGTGACGTGTGCAGAACTTGCTGATGTGGGAGGCAGAGGAGACTTTGGGCTTACACACAAGTTTCTGCACAGCAAATACTTGAATTAAGGACTTAAATTTGAGGGCGTATAATACTAAAGATGGGGATTGTGCAAAGCCAGGAGTCTTGCTGAGGAATACGAGAGAGGAAGAAGGTGTGGGTAGAAGACAGGAAGATCCAAGGATCAGTTCAGGAGTAGAACGGGAAGGAGTACCCAGCTATTTTCTACACAGAAGTAACAATTACGAGGCCAGGCACATCCACCCTTGTGACCTGTTTCTACAGCCTGCCCAACTGTTTGATCATCCTAGATTCCCTGTCTTTTCCTTGTCTTCTGGAGGTAGCCTTTTTGCTACTAGTAAAACTTTTACCATTTGTTAGCAAAGCAGCAATGTTTAATTAGAAAGAATAAAATGACTGTGATGTGATTCGTCAGTGCAGGACTCCAGGGGCATTAGTTCCTCCTCTGAGAGAAATGTTCTTGTGGACAGATCCCAGAGGCTCGCCAGGCAATCATAACAAATTGAAAAGTTAAATAATTGTTCAGTTAATATGATCCATCTGAAGAAGTAATCTGAGTGATTATGGTAATGATGTTTCCCCCTGTAATAACAGGGAATTTGCTTGTAATTACTCAGACAATTGTCTCTCTTTGAAGAAATTATTTCTCTCATTTTTTGAGATTATAATTAGATCATCCCCCCTCCCCCCACTGTCTATTTCTTCCCTCCAAACTCTCCCATATATCCCTTCTTTGCTCTCTTTCAAATTCATGGCCTCTATTTTTCATTAATTGTCACATAAGTATATGTTTATACACACACACTCCTAAACACATAAACACAACCTGCTTAGTCTGTATGTTACTTGTATGTCTGTTTTCAGGGCTATTTGGGATTGGATAACCAATTGAGTGTTCTTCCCTGGGTAAGAATTGTCCCTCATTTAATGTCTTCGGATATGAAGTTACTGCACAGTGACCTCTCACAGCAGTTTGCGGCACTAATGCCAAAAAGGCTGGCTTCCATTAACATGGCGTTTGCACCTTAGTGTTTCCCTTTGTTTTGGAATTCTGGGGCATTATGATGCTTATCCATGGGCAGGAGAACACTCCCAGGAACTGTGCTCCTCTGGGCAGCTCAATCAGCTAAGGTTCCTTTCAGGACCCCTTAACTCAACCAGTGCTATTTTTTTAAACCTCAAGAGAGTCAGAGAAGAAATTTTGTTTCAAATTATTTCAGGACAAATCAAATTCATTCCTGAAGCTCAAAATTAGTCATGTCCTTGGGCTGTTGATTTGAACCTGTGGATTCATGAAGTCCTTTTGTGAAAGGTCAGACAGGCAATCAAACATCTTCTTGAATGTTACTGAGTAAAGCACAAGCCAAGTCACTAGCCAAGTGATTCCTCGATGGCCCTGAAAGAATTTCTACTACCTATAAATGGCCTGTTATTCTGCAAATTCTGAAAAAAATGTTATTAAAAATCCCAATCAAATATTATTTCAATGCATGAATTGCAAGCCTCCTTGGCTAGAGAAAACAATAGGTTACTGCAACTTAATTTTGAAATGAGTACACAGTGTTCAACTTGTAATTTAAAATTTTACCTTTAATTTATGTACCTTTCAATCTGCCATCTTAACAGTAATTTTAATGAGGTTTTTTTCCCCCCTGAAATATACAGTAATGTCTAAATGTTATACTGGACTGTTGGGAATGAGGTGATATTTCCTCTTCTTGATTAGTGTGAGAATATGTATTTGGATGCTTGGAGCCTTAATTAACATTTACCCATATTGTTCTTTCAGAATTCTGTGAGAGATAACCTGTATTGTTCTTTCAGAAGCCTGGGAGAGATATGTGTTATCAAGTTATGCCACAAAGCTTTTTTTTTCTTAATAGTGATAAAAGACTGCTTTGCAGTTTTCTGAAATAAATATGCTCTGGAGAGATCCATGTACTTGCTATTTATAAAATGTCCATTTTGCATTCAGTCATATTGAAGAAAAACCACAGTAGTGGGTAAATCCCCTACATGTAATGACTCCATGCTTCCCGTTACACTGACCACCTCCATTCTCTGGCTGTTGTTTTTAGTTTAAGAGAGCACATTATAAAGTAAGTTGCAAAGTGATGTGAGAACAACCATCAATGTTTTAAAAATTAGCCACACAAAAGATTTGTTCCTAGAGAAAATACTACATGGATTTTTGAGGGACAGCAAAGCCGATTGCTTTTCAGTCCTACCCTTCCTAAATAAAGTGTCTCTCCGTGTCCAGGCTTTGCTGGAGGTGGTCAATGACCTCTTCGAAGAACAGACGGACCTGGAGAAGATTGTCAAGAAAATAATGCATCGGGCCCAAACTCTATTGAAATGTGAACGCTGTTCGGTTTTACTTCTAGAAGACATTGAATCACCAGTAAGTTACCCTCTGCTTTCCATGTGGAGTCAAAGACTGGGCGGAAGAAGTTAAGTTTATCCGCAATTAAGCAGAGTATTCTTCCAAGAGGAAGAGAGGTTCTTTCCTTGAGTTGTTTCCCTTCTCATCTTGTGCTCACCCTGGAAACTAAACCTTTAAGTGGATGGGGACCTTAGAGCCCGGTTAGTTCCGTGTATCTAATAGAAGATGGTGCTCGGGTGTGCAATGATGCCCAGCACCTAACAACATTGGAGGGGAAGGCCAAGAGCAGCCCTCACGCCCACATCATACTTACCCAGCACAGGGCAGGCTCCTCTCCAGTTGCACAGACTGCAGTAAGGACAGTGTCCCTCAGCCCTTAGAGGACAGCAGGGAGCAAGCAAAGGACAGAGCCTGGGCAGACAAATGAGCCAGCTTAGGTGGGCAGTGCTCTGCAGTAGGTTGTCTCCCAGGGTTTCTAGATTCCCCCACTGCTGCTTTGGGCTGGTAAAAACCAACCCAGAGTAGCCCATGCAGAGAAGGAAGTGCCTGACCTCACCTCAGAGTCTCCTTGTGCTCTGGCCTGGCACATTTTGATGATTTGTGACTAGCTTCTGGGCTTGGTGCAACCCTTGGGGCTGCTTGGAAGAAATCAATCAAAAAACAAAACAAAACAAAAAATTATATTGAAAATAATGGTTATCATCTATCTAAGTAAGTGCTTCAAAGCTGAATGTCTAAACTCCCAGCAGCAACTTAATACATTTGCTGAGACTCACTTCAAAGACCAAGAATTGTCAACATTTAAGAGCTGTTTTAATATCTCAGAGAATGATATTCGATTATACGGGACTTAGAAAAGGATACTACTGCCTTTACTTTTAGGTTGTTTTCCTCAAAGAATGAGATTCTGAGGTTAAAATTGTAATGAGTATTATAAACTTTGTTTAGAATGTGTAGGTACATATATGTGAAACTTGACAACATGAGATTTAGTTCTGAGTGTTCATATAGAAATATGAGCATAGGGGGCTGGAGAGATGGGTCAGAGGTTAAGAGCACTGGCTGCTCTTCCAGAGGTCCTGAGTTCAACTCCCAGCAACCACACGGTGGCTCACAACCTTCTATAATGACATCTGGTACCCTCTTCTGGCATGCAAGCATACACGCAGGAAGAATACTGTATAAATAAATCTTTAAAAAGAGAGAGAGAGAGAAAGAGAGAGAGAGAAATATGAGCATCTATAAATTAATCATAAAAGGCAGCAAAAGGGGACACTGAGTGGAATTCTACCTGAAAAGCTATATAAATGCACTCGAAACAGATTAACTCCTTGTTTAATTAAAAAAAAAAAAAAGCTAAACAAGGAGCAAAGCAAAGGGGGAAAGCTTCGTATAAAGATGTTTGATGAAACCCTCTCTCACAGCCCTACCTAATTCCACAGACACCCTAGCAAAAAGTTTCAGGGGAGGAATTATATCACACTCAGGAAGAAATGGCTAAATTCTGGGCTTTTAAGCTCCCAAATGGAGCTTAGAATTGTGCAGTTGTTAATCTAAGATATTAAAAGCAGGAAAGAGGAAAATGTTTGGTCAGTGGCATGCTTCTCTTGAAAGAAAAGTGCTTCTCTTGAAAGAAAAGAGCCAGAGTTTGATCTGCAGGACTTACACAAAAAGCCAGGGCTTCGTGCTTGCATTTATAATCTCAGCACTGGGGAGGCAAACAGGTGCAGCCTACGGTCACTGACCAGCCAGCCCATTGGCTGGCTCCAGGCCAGTGAGAAATCCTGTCTCAAAAGAAGTAGAAACAGCATTTAATATTACCCTGTACTCCACATGCGAGTGCACGCGCGCACACACACACACACACACACACACACACACGCAAACATGCATACCCACACACAGACAAACAACAATATTAGCAAAATGCTGAAACTTTTCATTTGGAAGATCCAGGGTTTTCTAATCTAAAGGCTAAATGAATCATAACTAAACACATAACTAAAGCAAGAGATTAGAAAAATAACAGATAAAGCCCTAGGATATCCCACTCTAGAGTCAATCAGACTGGGGAGAGTAGGATGCATGCTATAGTGGGTCCTCACACTGTTCCCATGCTCAAGTCTTCCTCAGGTTGTCTCCTGGCTCAGATTGTCCTCACACTGGTCCCAGGCTCAGGTCTTCCTCAGGCTGCCCCATATTTAAGTCTCCATACATTAGTGTTAATGGAGGGGCGGTAGAGATGATGGCCAACATTCCTCAAGCATATAGTAAGGGAAGAGAAGAGGAGATGCTGGTGTTAGTGGAAGCCAAGGGACAGTAAGTGCCCTATAGGCTTCCTAAAGACTCTGAGAAGCACAAAAATGTAATTCCCCATGCCTAGTAGATGCTAACAGATGGAAGCCAAGCACAGGAAGAAGACTACTGGCCAGGCTGGACTAGACTATGGGACTAGGAGGACTGTGCTGATGCCATTGAAGTGTCACACCCCTTAGCAAGGAAGAAATCTAGAGCAACCATTTCTCTCCAGAGCACCCAGGAAATGGCAGGTCACATGCTAAAGTTTTCATATCCGAGGAATTTAAATCTCAAATTACTAAGAAAACCAGATGTGGTTGGATTTCACTACGGCATTCTCTTTTGTCTTCTGTCGACATAAGCAGAATTGAGGCTCAAGGACATATTTAGTTGAGTTATAGATAAAATATAAGTTGCTTTTTGCACAGTTGTATCTGTGGCCTTGGAGGTTTGTGAGCAATGTACAAGCTCCATTCCCTAGTTAATGATTCATCTTATACTTGATTCACCTAGGCGACAAAGGAAACATTTATAGACAGGGTTGGAGAGTGATGGGTTAGTCTGTAGATGCTGGCAATTTGGAAAAGAATACAAGATTTTTTTAAAACTAGTTTAAGCCAGTTTTAATTTTATGAGACAGAATAATTAATCTAAAAAATGCAGGTTCACTTAAGCTCAATTCAAGAAGGAACCGATACATTGTTAAAGCAGGTCTAAGAAGCATTTGAGAAGACAGAGTAAGATTTGGGGGTTTTAACCAAAGTTTGTTACACAAACTGTGTGTAGGGGAAGCTGTAGCCACGCCTACTTAGGCTACAGGTGTGCCTGACCACGCTTGTGAGGGCGTGGTCAGAGTGACGTAGTGTGACTGTGTTTGCTTTTTCGGTTTCACTTTGCTTCTTGCTGTACAGACCGATACCACGCAGCTGGCTAGGTCGCTCTGTAAATAAGGCTTTTCCCTATTAAATACCCTTATATTTCTACCTCACTCCGTATTGGTAATTTCCCACTATAACTGTGGGCTGAGGTTGTCCTTTGCATTGGAGAGAAATCACTTACGCCTCTCTGAGAGAGGAAGCCACGTCACTAAAGCTGTGCACCTTCGTCAGCAGTAACCAGTGAGCACAACTGAGCTCATTTCCTGAATAAGTTGCTGACAATTTTTTCTACAATACCTTAGGTTTTTCAGGTGTCTCTGGTGCAGTCCTACAACTCTGCCACTATGGCATGAAAGCGGTCATAGACAATAAATTAGCATGTACATGGCGGTGTGCCAATAAAACTTGATTTATAAAAATAAGTGGTAATTCAGATTTGGCTTGAATATGATATATTTCTGTCTTAGAAAGTCCCCCCCCCATTAGTAAAAAGTAGCATAAAATAAAGAGTATAGGATGTCTGCAAAGGTGCCATATAAAAAAATGTGAAAGCCAAAGGCTAGACACAGAGCAAATCCAGAAACATTGACAAAGATTTTCATGAGATGGGATTAAAGATAACATAATTTCCCTTGAAAGACAAGTGTCCAAAAAAGAGATGCAGAGAAGCAAGAAACATGTGAGAAGGGAGAGTAAGAGTGGGGGAAGAGAGGAGGAAGAGAAGGAGAGGAGGGAAAGGAGGGGGAGAGGAGCAGGAGAACAGGGGGAGGAGGAGAAGAAGACAGAGGGCTACTTCATTGGTAGAGCTTGAAAGAAGAAAACGTGAAATCATACAGAAATGGATATTACATTTTCAGAAAGCAAGAAAGAAAATAAAAGACAGCTCAAAATGCTTTAAGGAGCACAAAGAACAAAATTGAAAATGAAATGGAAGAAAGTGAATTATAAAAACGAGAGAATTATAAGAATGGAATCATAATGAAAGTTCAAAATAAGGATAATTCGGTGTCTCTGGGGAGAACACGACAAATGGACCAGGAAAAGGCTTTCAGAATTCTAACTCTAGGACATTTTATTGAAATAAATTCAAAGCTGGATTTACAGATTGAAAGAGCACAGTATTCAGAAGTCAGTACTCACTGCTCAGCACTAAAATACATTTGATGCTAATGGAATTTGGAGATAGAAAAAATAAAATCTTTGGGCATCTAGGCAAAAACTCATGACACTTTGGAAAAAACTTCATTCCGATGGTAGACTTCTTAGTTGAGTTCCCCTGTGATAGAAGTCAGTGGAACAATATCGAACCAAACCTCGGTGTGTGTGTGTGTGGGGGGGTGGCTCTACAATGTAAAATCTAGGCAAATCCATACTCAATTATTTAATCACAAGTGGTAGATGCTTTCAAATATGCAAGGAGGAGAGTAGGAAGTATAGTTTCAAGGGCCTGGGAAATGTGGACATCTGAAATCTGGCCATGCAATGGATGAATGATGCCAGGATAAGTGAGTCCAGCATTTAGTGTTACGAGTCTTTGAATGTGCAACCAAGGCTGAACACTAATGCCTATACTTATGGGAACAAATGTAAGCCTCATATTATCAGCTGTGGCAATGGTTCTGGTTCCCGTACTTGGGAGACATGGCAACAGGCAGCAGGCTGGCTAGATATGCAGAAGCACACTGTACTGGGGGTTTGTGTCCTTTTTGTGCTTTGAAAGGTCTCACATGCTTGAACACTCAGTTCTCTGCTAGTGGCACTGTTTGAGAAGGCCGAGGAACCTTCAGGAAGTACAGCCTTCCTGGAGGAGGTTGGTTCTTGGAAGCAGGTCTTATAGTTCTG